GCCCGACGACAGGGGCTCAGAGGCCATGGGCGAACCGAGGGTGGGCGAGGCCAGCTCCGGTGACACCGGCCCAGACGGCCTTGGCGAGGCGAGAGCAGGCGAGGCCGGCCCTGGTGAGAAGGGCCCAGACACCCTGGGCGAGGCAGGGGCGGGCGAGGCCAGGCCTGGTGATGACTGCCCCGACGCCCTGGGCGAGACGGGGACCGAGGAGGCCGGCCCAGCCGGCGGGGTTGTAGGGCGCGACGATGGCGAAGGCAGCCCAGAAGCCAGAGGCGACCGGGCCAGGACGTCGATCGGCCGTGCATGAGCACGGAAACCGAGGCCATGCAGGGGCGCCATGTGCTCCTCATGCACAACAGAAGGCGCCGAGGATGAAGGCGATGGCGACGAAGAGGAAGATGGCGCTTCCAGAATCTCCAAACGAGCCCCACGACCAGTGCCTGCACCATGGTTAGGCAACAATAGAGGAGAATATGCAACATCATCAAATTGGTCAGAAGCAACAGAGGATGAATGCATGACAGGTGGCTCGGTAGTGGACACAGGGAGTTTGGCAAAGGGAAAAACATGCTCATCAAACACAACATCCCGAGAGATGTAGACACGATTAGTGGGAACATGAAGACATTTGTATCCTTTATGAAGAGAGCTATAACCAAGAAAAACACACTTCTTGGAACGAAACTCGAGCTTACGCTTGTTATATGGACGGAGATGGGGCCAGCAAGCACATCCAAACACCTTGAGAAAGGTGTAGTCCGGTTGTTCATTAAGGAGAACTTCAATGGGAGTCTTCATATTCAAAACACGAGTGGGAGTACGATTGATGAGAAAACATGCAGTGGTGAAAGCATCACTCCAAAAACGAAACGGAACAGATGCATGGGCCAAAAGAGTCAGACCAGCTTCAACAATGTGACGATGCTTACGTTCTACTGAACCATTCTGCTGATGTGTATGTGGACATGCTAAACGGTGAGTGATCCCAAGCGACTGAAAGAAGGAGTTGAGGTTGCGATACTCGCCACCCCAGTCCGACTGAACATGAACAATTTTGTGCTTGAGAAGGCGTTCAACATGTTTTTGGAACTGAACAAAAATGTCAAACACATCAGATTTACGTTTGATAAGATAAAGCCAGGTAAAGCGGCTGTAAGCATCAACAAAACTGATATAATAATTATGACCACTAACAGAAGTCTGAGCAGGACCCCATACATCTGAAAACACAAGTTCTAAAGGATGTTTCACCTCACGACTGGACTCCGAAAAAGGAAGTTGATGACTCTTCCCCTGCTGACAAGCATCACACACTGCTACATCTTTATTACTAGACACACTAGGAAGCTCATGACGACGCAAAACATGCCGGACAATAGGTGTGGCCGGGTGACCAAGACGAGCATGCCACTGTGACGGAGATACCCGAACTCCACTGAAGACGCGAGCGACGCCAGGATGCTCTAGATGATAGAGACCTTGGCAGAGCCGCCCACTAAGAAGAATGTCCCTCGTGCCCCGATCCTTAATAAAAAGATCAAAAGGATGAAATTCACAAAGCACATTATTATCACGAGTGAGTTTAGGAACTGAAAGAAGATTACGTGTCACAGATGGAACTCGAAGAACATTGCGAAGTTGAAGACTCCTATTGGCATGTCTAGTGAGAAGTGATGCTTGACCAATATGAGAGATGTGCATACCTGCTCCATTGGCGGTGTGGATCTTGTCGGAGCCATGGTAGGGTTCACGAGTGTGAAGCTTCCCCATCTCACTGGTCAGGTGCTCTGTCGCCCCAGAGTCCATGTACCAGTGGGGATCAATGGAGTAGGACTGAGTGTGTCCCTGTGGCTTCTGCGGCGGCGGACGATCAGCCATGGCGACCTGGCGAGCAAAGTTGCGTGTATCCTTCCCGTCATTGCCAAGACCAAAAAAACCCCGCTGGAAGCGCTTGTGACACTTCGAGGCCCAGTGCCCATCGCGACCACAAAGCTGGCACACACGGGGACCGCCAGCCCCTGGTAGCGTCGCAGTAGGAGGAGGGGCCGAGGCGGGTGGTGGTGACTGCCCCGAAGGAGCCCTGGATGAAGCAGAGGAGTGACCACCCTTGGTGGCGGCATTTGCCGAGAGGGCGCCGTTGCCCCTGGATCGGCGCGTCTCGACTCGTTGCTCAGTAAGCAGGAGGCGTGAAAAGACCTCGTGTGCTGGCATGGGCGTGGAGTTGCCCCTCTCATTGATGATCTCGACTAGGGCGTCATACTCCTCATCAAGACCATTGACAATAAACGAGTTGAACTCGGAGTCGGTGAGGGACTGTCCAATGGAGGCCAGCGTGTCGGCGAGACTCTTGACTTTGTTGTAGAACTCAGTGGCGGTGGAGTCAAGCTTCTGACACTCCCCAAGTTGGCGACGGAGCCCAGATACACGAGCCTGCGACTGTGCCGCAAACGAGCGCTCAAGAATAGTCCATGCCTCGTGGGACGTCTTGGCGAAGACAACAAGCCCAGCAACGGCCGGAGAGAGCGACCCCTGGATGGAGGAGAGGTTCGCCTGATCCTGCCCTGTCCAGACACGGTGAGCCGGATTATAGACCGGACCATGCACGCTGTCAACCAGCGCAGGAGGGCAAGGGAGAGAGCCGTCGACATAGCCAAGCAGGTAGTGACTCCCAAGAAGCGGAAGAACCTGCGCGCGCCAGAAGATGTAATTGTCCGACGACAACTTGATGGTGATGAGATGGCCGAAGTGAAACGGCGGCGGCGGCTGCGATCCCATCGAGGAGACTGGCTGAGGTGAGAACACCGTGGAGACAGTCGGAGGGGCAGTCGGCGTGGTGACAGAGGGCGCGATGGCCGCGGTTGACGCCGCGAAGCCTGCCAGCGCGACGTCCTCCGCCACCAGCGGCGCAGTGGCCGAGGGCGCGACAGCCGCGGTTGACGGGGCGGCGGTGGTGTGAGCCACAAGCGCCTGCCCGGGCGAAGTAGCAGCCGGCGGGAGCGCGAAGAGGGAGCCGACGCTCCGTGTCCCGATCGGCGCCTGAAGGGAGGCGACATCCAGCGGCCTCGAGAGAAGTGCCGCGAGGGAGGCCGGCAGAAAACCGGTGGCGGTGGAGCCGGACGCAGCGGCGGACGTCATAGCAGTCGGGCGACGGCGGCGGCGGGCGCGGCGGCGGCGGCGGTGGCGGCGGCGGCGGCGGCGGTTTAGGGTTTTTAGGCGGAAGCGGACGTAACCTAGCGTGATACCATGTAAGACAATAGGCTTTAGGGGGAACCGGCACAACCCTCTAGGGGTGGCCTATCACATATATATATAATGAGGTGGTATACAACGTTACAATATACACATGTAAATACAGTCTAACAATAATATAGCTGGCCGGTAGCTATAACAAGTTGTTATGTCATCTATAGCCAGCTATGATCATTCTGTTTCCCTCCTCTCTCTTTTTGTGGGTGGCACTATACATGAAATTTGATCCCCTCAAACAAAGAAAAAGAACCGCTTGAAATTTGACAAAACATGGAGGCGACACAAATTCAGGGAACACATACAGCACAAGTTGCAAAGAACCGGGAACTCAATATATTTTTTTTAGGTCTGGGAACTCTAAATATAATAAGTAAAAGTAAAACGTAATAACATCATTTTCTTGTGGCCACTGATGAAAACAGTACCTTTTGTGTATCATGTGTATCACTGGCATGATGTTGACCTTGAGCATGCCGCCAGCAGTAAAATCACAAGAGAAACGACAGACAATATCTCAGTTCTGCTTGCAGTAAACAGTTCCGTAATGAATGCCACACTACATTCGCTTTGCAAACACGAATTCTTCACGGAAGTTACACATTCAGACATTCTACTCCGGTATACAGAAACAGAGAGAAAGGGCAAAAAAGAAAAAGAAAATGGACACCCCTTGCATCAGCAGTCACAATCTTTCTTTGTATACGACACAGTTTGTTGTTTGACGCCTCTTATATGGATCCAACACAAGTGCAGCTGTTTACTAGTATAACGAAGCCTGCTCAACTGGTTAGGTCAAAACTAATTTACAGTTCAATTGAACGATTTTACATGCCATCAGTAAACAGCCCACCACATTCTTCTCCTCTACTAGCCTTTACCCGGACTACCACCAAAGAAAGAAAAGATTGAACAAGAAGACACTTGCTATGGAGGGGCTCCGCGTCTCTCTCACTGGGGAGGCGGGAGGGTGAGAGCCGGCGGCAAAGAAGGGGGCGATTTGGAGAAGATCCTCGTGTAGAGCACCGTGTTCCAGACGTCGGGCACGCCGGGAAGGCACCAGTGGATGCAGTCGGCAAAGTTCTGAGGGTCGTTCTTCTGCTTCGGGGTGAGCAGGTAGCCCCGCCGGACGGAGTAGACGGACGTGTGGGCGTCCTTCCGGTAGTCCGACATCCTGGTGATGTCGATGAGCGTGACCGGCACTTTCTTCATGGACCTGGCCGTGCTCGCCACCATGTCGTACAACCGCATGTCGTGGTTCAGGTCCAGGGGCTCCGTGTAGTTGAGCACCGGGAGCGTCTCCTTGGCGCATTTGATCCCGTGGGGGTTTCCCCATTTATCTGGGCTGAGCATCACAAGAGAAATTTTTGTTAGTGAGAGATGCATAAGGAAATGTGTGTGCCATCATCATGCTGATCTATCTATCTATGATTCAAAACCTGATAATGGTTAGCACAAACGAAAAATAAAAATATTAACAAAAAAAACATGACACTGTTGGGTCTGGTGGTGGGCCGCGCTTAATCTCTTGGGGGACAGCAACCGACTCAATTCCAAGCCGAGTCGGTAACTGAAACCGTCTCCTTCCCAGGGTCGGACCGGATCTAATCGATTTACCTACCCACCTCTCCCTCCCGTCCCCCACGAAAACCCCCACCTGCCTCTAAACCCCAGCAATGGCTGCCGCCGCCGCTGCCAACTCCGATGACGAGGACAACTACGAGGAGTACGTCCCCGTCGCCAAGCACAGGGCCATGGAGGCTGATCGCTTCCGCCACCAGCGCCTCCCCAAGCCCGCCGTCCCCTCCCTCCCACCGCCTCCGCCCCCACCGACCAACAACTCCGCCCCCGCCGCCAAGCCCAGCCTCCTCGTCACGTGCACACTGCGCAAGCGCACCGCCCCGGAGATCACCCCCACCGAGCGGTTGATACAGGAGGAGCAGAAGATTGCCGAGGAGGTCTCCTACCGCACAACCCTCAAGCCCGTGGGGGAGATCGCCAAGGACATCACCTACACCGAGCCGCTCCGCACCGGCTGGAAGCCGCCGCTGCGTCTCCGCCGCATGCCGCGCGAGAAGGCCGACGAGCTCCGCAGCAAGTGGCACATCCTCGTCGAGGGCGAGGAGGTCCCGCCGCCCGCCCGTGACTTCTGCGACCTCCGGTTCCCCGAGCCCATCTCCCGCATGCTCCGGGAGAAGGGCATCGTGCAGCCCACGCCCATCCAAGTGCAGGGGCTCCCCGTCGCGCTCTCCGGGCGCGACATGATCGGCATCGCCTTCACCGGCTCTGGGAAGACGCTGGTGTTCGTGCTGCCGCTCATCATGGTGGCGCTGCAGGAGGAGATGCTGATGCCAATTGTGCCTGGGGAGGGGCCCTTCGGGATGATCATCTGCCCATCACGGGAGCTGGCCAAGCAGACATATGATGTTATCGATATGTTCCTCGCTCCCCTCAAGCAGGCTGGGTTCCCAGAAATACGACCCTTGCTCTGCATTGGGGGTGTAGACATGAGGACGCAGCTCGACGTGGTGAGGAAGGGTGTGCATATTGTGGTCGCCACGCCTGGACGGCTCAAGGATCTTCTCGCCAAAAAGAAGATGAACCTTGACAATTGCAGGTATGTATCGGATATTCTGATCAATGTGGTGTTTTCATATCTTGACCATAGCCTTGTGTCAAGACGGATGGAGTAATATGAAAGCAACATCAGGATATGCTTCTAAAGAACCCTGTTTTCTAATAAGCTCAAGAAAATACACTTACTGTCTTTTTCTGATCTTCACGAAAAACGCGGGATACATTAGTGTGGGTGGGCCAGTGAGTGTATTTCTAATGGGTAAAACTTAAGAGCGCGGTTGGCGTGTCTATAATTATCGAATGAATGGGATGTACACTTATATGTCAGGTAGGGGTGACTTTCAGAAGATACGGCTGATGGGGAGGGATGTAGGAGGAATATGAGACCATAGCCTGGGTAGAAAATAATTCAGATTAGATTAAGACTTTGTTTTTCCTCTTGGTTAATGCCAAAGTTTACAATAGGCATTGTTATATTGCAGGCCCTCCTATCGAACACCAGCAAGATCCGAGATCAGTCTAAATGAAAAATTGCTATCATAGACTGGGTACAAAGATTTTAAATGAGATAACGACAATTTCAGTGTCCTTCTTAGTTAATGCCAATGATTACAATAGGCATTGTTATATAGACAGCAATTTAGATGTAAACTTGCCTAAGTTATATATTAAACAACTAATCCCCATCACTGGTAAGTAATCAAACTCTGTAGGAAAATATATAGATTGGCTTGGTAGAACCATTCTGATCCTAGATGTTGACCCACTGCTGCAGTACCA